GAATCCTTCCTGTATTGCCTCATACGCCTGTAGAATTTTTGTAGATTGCTTTGTAGGTGTGTTATCAGGATAAGACGTGAGAGGTCTTCCTATTAAAAAAAATGACCTGGCGTCAATACGTCAAACTCTTCAGGGGCGCTGGACAAGGGTACCAAAGGTCTTGAATTGAGCACAGCTTCAATTTGAGGGACAAGCTGCGTTAATTGCTGTAAAGTAAATATTCTTGCTCTTATTACTTTATACAATTGCGATTTGAATATTTTTATTGCTGACTCCCGAAGTCCACCATGATGAGGAGAATTGGGAGGGTCGAATTTCCATTCTGTCATGTAGCTGTGTCATGTTTTCTGGTCCGTTCCACCAAATTGTTGAAAGTTTCAAGCTTTCAGCATCTGTTCCTCTCGAAATTAGATCTGCGGAAGATCTGGATCTTAGTCCCTCGGAATTGACTGCGACTTTCTGCGCTCTACCGACTCAAGTAAAAATGAACGTTTCTTTAAAAACTCAAGCAGCTCTTGAAGCCTTGGGGGATCTTTTGTAGGCACCACCTTTTCCCATTCCGTCAGTGTGCTTTGATCGAATTTTGCAGTTGCTAAATGAACCACTAGTGGGTCCCAAGAGGTAGTATCCACCTTCAAAGCATTCAGTGATGGTACCGCCTGATTGATTTTGTTGTGTATATTTTCTAAATCTTTTGCTATTAATGTTTCCTTTTTCTTACAAATACATGTGGGGAAACCAAGATTGACTATCGCTTCGCAATGATTGCGTATTATTATCTTCTTATTTTCGAATTCATCTCTCAAAGTTTGAAGCGCAACTAGATAATTTGCTTCCGTGAAGTCGATGCTTCTGATCAAAGAGAGGGCTTTTCCTGATAAAGACGACCGTAAATAATGAAATTTGATGATCTCCGTTAAGTTCATATTAAAATAGTAAATAATGTGGCAACAATGCCGCGGATTCATCATACCGCGCTTTGATTGCTGAAAGTGAGGAAACATCACCTTCCACAGATTTCTTAAAATTCAACAGCTGACGCTCCAATTGTTCTTTTGAGGTTAATAATCCATTCAACTTTTCATGATGATCAGTATTGGGAGGCGTTGGGCTGATTCGCGAAGCTTTCGATGCCTTGACAGTTCTTGATCTCTTCATTATTATTTTTTAAGAACCGCACTTTACCGCTTTCAACGGCATTACAAATCAATAAATGGATTTACACAATTTTAAATTAACAAATTATGCAGTCTAAATGACATTAATCCGGCATCAAGCTTGCCTGGCAACAATGTACCTAGCAATGCGTTTTTTTTTTTTATTTTAGACTTTTCGTTCGTGTCGAGACACCGCCTCTGTCCGATCGAATGAGAAGCCTAGGCCCAGGTCTTACACAAGTATTGCAAGGATAAGAATGGAGGCGAAAATATCGCTCACTGCAATCTTATTTCTATCCAAGCTTAATTCATGAGTTCACATCGGGAATGGAGGCGAAAAATATCGCTCACTACATTCTCTATGATGTAGCTTTTAAGCTCTCAGTTTGTATGCGACAATATCGCTTTACTGCATTTATATTATTATCGAATGGAGGCGAAAACCGCTCACTGCATTCATATTATTATCAAATGGAGGCGAAAACCGCTCACTGCATTCATATTATTATCGGATGGAGGCGAAAACCGCTCACTGCATCCTCAATTAGTAAGAAATGCTCTTGTCAAAGTGTTAAACGCAACGTCTACTTATACTCTTTTTTTTTTTTAGGTTATCTCAATTACAAACATTTCATCTTCACTCTGATTCCTTATTATTTTTCACTTTGACTAGAGATTTCGAGTATATAATCACGTCGGGGTCACCAAATGGAGCTATTTTCAATAGCTGAACTAATCAGTAAATAAACAATCTCAAATACCAGAGGAAACCAAACTGGATCGCAGTAACTTTTTATATATTAACAGCATATATAGAACAGCAGGGAGAAATCACTTGGCAACTAAAAACTATACAGTGTTGTAAAGTTTTTACACTTGCGTTACATGGGCGGAAAGGGGCACTTGTCCGGAAAAACCTCGATATTTGGAACAGAACGGAAACTTTAATAGGCATACAATTTATGGTTGCCCATGTAATTTTAGCTGCTGAATCCGAAAATGGCCTTATCTTTCCTCCATCATGCACAGATTTTCCGGAAAATTGATTTTTCACCGGAAAAGCTCGATTTTTAAGGAAAATCCTGATTTTTCCGGGGAAAATCGACCTGACCCTGCATGACGGAGGTCATTTTCGGACGCAGCGCTAAAAACTACTCTAAGACTATCACATTTGAACCCGTGTAGACCAGTGTTACTTTAGATTTCTGGTCACTACCAAAATAGCGTAGTTTATGAAGAGTGTATTTATATTGGATCGGTAAGGGAGGGGGGTTGGAGGGGCTGGGGGCTTAAGGTGGAGAATGGGATGCATTTTAGGTTATATATTGCCTATTTATGAATAAAATTATCAATTAGAACTCTCCGTGAGGTCTGAGAAAATTTGCCAAAATGGATGAAAAAATGCGAAAATTAGCCGAATTTTGCAATTTTAAGGGCCCGTCGCGACCTCTAAATGTTGACCAAATGCAAAACTGTTCTACAACGTTTGTTTTTACACTATTAGGAACGTTTTGGCGGGATCCCTTGGCATTTTCAAAATTCAACCTTCTTAATTTCTCGTATAAGCCGCACCCTACCCCCAGACTCAATTTTTTTGAGCGTTTTTTGCTAAAAAGTGTGATTAACCAATGAAGAAGCTGCATACCCACGATTTTTATTTTTTAATCAGTTAGAGCATACTTTGAAGTTGATTTTCAAAAAAAAAAAAGTTGGCAATATCTCGTTAGCTTCGGTTGCTACGCCCATTTTAAGAAAACTAGTTTTTAGCGTTAAAAATCAGGGCTAAAACGGCGTATCTTCGGCTCAGTTAGCCTTCCTGAGTGAGTTGGGTTCAATTGGGAATTTTTCCCTTAAAATACATACTAACACGAACTAGTGTGCCAAATTTCAGCTTAAAATCTTTAAAACTGCAAAACTTATGAGGTTTTTTCAAACACGAGTCATTCCCGTTTTCTGAGTCTGGAGAGTGCATTTTTAGAGAAGGCCATAAAACTTCAAAAAAATTTTTCTCAAGAAATATTGAAGATATGAAGCTGAAAATTTGGGTTTTTTCTTATATTGACCTATAGATTAAGTAAAAAAAAATCATGGAAATCCGAGTTGGGTGGTTACAAGTCCGTTCGAATTGACATGGAATGACCCCCCAGTGACCTCACAACTTTGAACAGAAATATTGAGTTACGATTGTCATTTTTTTCTATAATGGACATGTACGGGTGAGATTTGACAACCAAGAAAAAGTAATGAGGAAGCTTCTGCCAAAGTTCCAAGGTTTGAAAGTAATTACTTTTCAGCTGTTAACCGTGCACTTATTATGCGTGCTATCCATGCCCTACCTTCAAGAAAAAAAATTGTTTTTTCAATTTAGGCTCATAGTTCTAGGGTTGAAATGAAATGCTTGAAGAACAAGGTGCGTAAGTGCAGTTTTTTCTATTGCAAGAAATACTTGTTTAAAGTTTCAAAATTAAGTACATGGACCCTTATGGCGGAAAGAGAATTCAAACTCATTTTTTGATGTTTAAAAATTGGAATTCATCAGTGACTTCTATATCAGAATTTACTTTAAGATTAATTTTAGTTGAAATCATTCATATCTCAATTTTTTCAAAAATTGCACCTATTGTTCTCCAAGCCACTCAAATATACTTTTTTTTTCTGCAAAGGGGTACAGTTGATATGAGTGTCCCCACATTTTGTTCCTAATTCCTAACTTATGCCATTCATTAGGAAAAAGTGTTACGGATGGGACACATTAAAGACGGACCAAATTTTCCTTTCGTGTCCCATGACATTCCGCGGAAGGCGCAAAGAAGGAGTTGGAGTCTATTATAGGCTTAACTCAAAAGGCTATTATAAAAATTTTGCAACCTTTTTGATTGGAAGTATGAAATAATCAAAACAGGGTGCATCACATTTTTAAGGCATTGGGGTGACCCAGGTCCCCTAATTTTTGGGCGCGTTTGGCGTATGACACTTATGAAGGGCTGGACAAATATACAGCAGGTCTCTGAACACTAGAGTTTGCGCGTGCGCCTCCCTCTGTCTTACAGAAGCTGTGTCAGCATGATAACACTAGACTTGTTATTATCTTGAACGTGCAATACATCAAATTTAGATGTCTTATCAGGCTGCTTTGAACTTTGAAGAGTTTTCTGCAGGAGGCCAATTGTTAAACCTGATGTTGATAAACTCCACACGACAAAGCTTGGGTGGAATGAAGGCATAGCATCGGGTGGCTTTGTTAATTTTGTCTTTGGTAATAAGTACCTAAGTATGTTGGGATTGTTGGGTGGCATTGACGGCAAGCTATTAGCAACTCAAGAGGAAACTTCAGCTTGTCATTGATTCCACCCGACATAGAGTCCACGCCAACTTTGATTACGCACTTATAGACTGCGACAGAAGATCCGCCATCTTCCTCCATTCATTAACTTTACACTTAAAAATGACATCATACCATCTACCGTCGCAGTCTCATAGTGCGTAAATTTATTTGATGTAGACTCTAGGCACAACAGAGAAAGTTACTGACAAAGCTGACGAATGACATGACAGCACTTCACCTTGGTTTTGTCTTGTTGATTTGACTAACACACAATTTCAATGGCCGACCCGCAAAAGTCTCCTACGTCAAGGATTTCTCGCTTCGACTGCAACACATCTCTATAAAGTGCTTTCCTAAATGAAATTCAAAACTACTCACTAAACATAGAAAGACTTGATCAGCTGTTACTGGGAATGGTTTTCACCAATACCATCTACCTCTAAGTAGATACCTATCTCTAAGTAGGAATTGTTTTCACAGTATCCTATTAGAAAATGGTGATATTCAAATTGACTCACCCAAACATATTTCAAAGTGGCGCAGAGCTGCGAATAACGGATATGAATTTCACGGTGGCACTAATTTTTGTTATCGAACTATTATACAACGAATTCGTAAGAGATTAGCTGGCTCAATGAACGGTTACATTTTAGGTAAAATCGAAAACATATAAATGTTCCGAACGCTGAACGCGGCAGATTTCCACGCGACTACAAACAGAACAATCCGAAGCCTTTTAGCAGACATCACATATTTTTTTTTTTAATGAATTAAGTAATTAATTTTCGTGACCATCCCTACGAGTCTGGGGTAAGTACAAGTACATCCGCCGAATCAGACCAGAGAGTAATCAGACACAGAGCACAGAACAGAGAAATAGAGAATTGAGAAACCTAACGTATAAGTAGGTACTGCGAATTTTTTTTTTTTTTTTTTTTTTTTTTTTTTTTTTTTTTTTTTTTATTGGTATTTTAACAACAATCTACAATATATGTATTCAGTTGACTTTGGATAGGACGCCTCACAATATGAATTAGAGTACCTACACGAATCACCGACTGACTAAATAACCTCCAAAGTCATGATTTGAAAAAACATTGGCCGGGAGAAAGCTAAGTACCAACTATACTTGACAGCACATACTGATTCATAACTTTTTCTAGTTAAAGTTCCGTTGACTCAGCATTAAGTAAACTTTATTTTATTACTTAGTGGGACAATGTTGGCTGGAATTTAATTCAGTCAACGCAAAATTTTGCCATTATTCAAGTGCAATTTATTTCATGGAGAAGAAATTTAGGGAAACTACTGTTTGAGACACCTGCATCACTGATTCTATGTTTTGTTTCCATTCGCACTCGAGTGCGCCTAACGGGCGAAATCCGAACGAAAAACAAGTCGGTCATTTTGAGTTCACGAATGACGTTTCCAATGCTCATGCTGGGCATTGGATGTTCTCCCAGTAAAGTGAAAAGTCTCCAAATACGTACTTCACTTCAAATTAATTTTTTTAAATTATAAGGGTTCGAAAAAATGAATGATCATTTAGGTATTCCTTTGTAACCACCACAGTCCTTTTCTTTGATTATTGTCCCAGTTTGATTTTTGTTGCCATCTTGAAGTTTTGTGACGTCAGGCGGGTACCACTTTTGCCAGGCGACTACCGAATCTGTAGCGCGCATTTCAAATCTTCGCCTGCTCTCAACAAGATTAGAACAAGATGAGGACGAGAAGCATTGTTTGATAAGTGAGATGACGATGAGATATAAATAAGATATAAATGATCCGTCACATTCCTTCCTAGAAATGTGCCTGTTCCAGCTGAATTTAGTTTTTTATTTCTGAATGATGAAAGAATCTCAAAGGATCGAAATATGACTAAATACTAGCTCTGTAGCTTGCAAGATAACGCCCTTACCTGAGTTATGAATTTTTCCAGTATCGTTGAAATATAAGTAGAGTATACCTAGTAGCGGCACCCAGTGTCACAGTATGTCATACCTATTTGATGTACCTAGGTAATTCTCATCCAAATAAGAGAAGAATAAATATTTACCTTCATTAACACCAAGTAGACGAAAGTTCCACTGTGAACTTAGTTGGCCAATAAAAATGCAAACAATGAAGCAATTATTTTTATTTCCTGACTCCAAATGGTAAGAATTATGGTAAGAACTCTAAGGCATAGTAAAAACTGTATTTATCATTCCTCAATAA